ATTGAGTATCCTTGCCCCTTGTGACATTTTGTATTGGTCAAGTTTGCCACGAAATATGCAGTCAAACTATGTAGTAAAAAATAAGTGTGACCAAAATATATCTGGATTTTTTTTTTGTGATACCATTAAAGCTAATGGAGATAGATTTTAAAAATTTTTTTTAACATTCTAACTAACTGTATTGATGAGATTTGACAAATCGTTATCTTTATTAGTCTTGGGGTCACTGTGGGGAAAGTGATAGGGTGGTAGTAGCTGACCACATGGCCCACAGATTAGCAACACAAGAAGCCTACTATAAAGCAGTGCAAACTGACAAAAATGCTGTGCGTGCCCACATTCTGATTGAGGCAAACAGGGCAAAAGAAGCAGAAAAGGTAAAAATTTCAAGTGGTTATTATTTTTACATATTATCTGCATCATAATACAATTTTTAAATTATTTAAGGATAATGATGTTCATGATGTGATTCAAGAGAACTGGCTAAATATTTAAACAGATCATTTTCCAAATCCAGAAAAGGATGGTTGTAGTTATAACACAACATGAACTCCAATGCTTTTAATGTGCACAATCATATTGTCCTACAATTTATTCAGTCATTGCCACAGTACATTTTTAGCGCTGCATCTTTAGGTTATTACCAACAGGAGAAAAATGTTAAGAATTATTTACAGCGGAAGCATATGTTTCTATCAAATTGGAAAATGTGGACAAAAACAGTGGTTGTGTTCATGAAGAATAGTCAGCATGTGCAAGTACCACATGTATTTGTACATTATTTTTTCAACATGCCTTTTTTTTTTAAATAATTTTCTCATGTGGTGTTTTCTATTATCACAGTTTATTAAATATATATATGCAAAGGTAAAAGTAGGTGATAACCATAACTGTCAGTGTCACTGTGCTGAATAGAATATGGGTGTGGTGTGCTATTACTGTAGCAGCTTCAGTGAAGTGCTTTGTAACTTCATCAAAATAATTTAATATGGTAATACCTCAATTATTTCTAACATCCAAATAATTTAACTCAACCAGTTTTGTAGTTTCGCCCACCCTAATCACTCAATCTAATATGTATTTGTAGAATGTTACCAATGATGCTAGTGGAGTATCTGTTTTTATGTGATACCATATACTTAGTCTTTTGTAGTTTATAGAATGCTACCATCTATTTCATCTGTTTTGTGGTTTGTAGAATGCACTACCATCCAACTAAATCTCTTTGTAGTTTAGTCAAATAATACCATGCATTCTAACCACTCAATCTATTGATTCATAGAATGCAACCATAGCTCATCGGCAGTGCAATGTCGGCGGTTTCAATGACATCATGACTTATTAAATCTGTTTTTTTGCTTGTAGAATATTAATATGCATGCTAATTACTAAATCTGTTTTGTAGTTTGTAGAAATATTTCATGCACTTAATGACGTCTGTGTAGTAGTTATTGCTAACATTCAAATATATTAACTCAATCAATCAATTTCATTCACCATAATCACTACTCTGCTGTCTAGCTTGTAGAATATTACTGTGCATGCTCATCACTTAATCTGTTTGGTAGTTTGTAGAATGCTACAGTACCATGTACCCTAATCACTCATTCTGCTTTAAAATTTGTAGAGTGCCATAGCTCAGTGACATGTACTGCATGTCCGAGGGCTGGAGCTGAAATCCCAATGGAGCAACTTTTTATCATATTTCACAATAACATCATGCCTAAGTAAATCTGTTTTGCAGCTTTTACTGTGATGCTAATCACTCAATTTATTTTGTAACTTGTAAAATTTTGCTATGTCTGCTAATCATTAATTTTGTTTCGTAGTTTGTAGAATGCTACTGTATCATCCACCTTAATCACTTGATCTGTTTTGTAAATGCAACTGTACCGTGAACCCTAATCACTACCATCCAACCAGTATTATTACACAATTTATATATCACATCGCAGTCTGTTTCACATAATATTGAATGCTAACATAGCTCAAAATGTTGTGATTAATAGAATACTGTTTGGCGGGTTATTTCAAGGCACTAAAGAAGTACAGAATTGTACTATTAAAAAATACATCTGTAAAGGCCCTGTCACATCTGTTCAGGTTCCAGTTCAGGTTCCAGTTCCGGTACCGGTTAAGAAATCGGACTTCTATTCTTACAACACTGAAGGCGTATTCTATTCACATATAATCCGATCCGGTGGCCGTTGACCGGCTCTGGCATCCGGCAACCAGATCGAATCGGTCTTGGAGAGATTTTTTCGGATCGGATTCGAAACCTGAAGACATAAATCGGCTTCTCTTTTTTCCCGACTAGAGCCATTCTCACCATCTTGTATATCGGACATGGCGATAACACTTCCTCCGAAGTAGAATGATGATGATTTAGAAGCTATATTTTACTTGAAATACAACTGAATTCAATTTTGTATGAAAAATGCTCGAATGAATACAAAAACGATGTAAAGAAGGCTGAAGTGTTTTCAGCAATTGGTGCCAAGTTTGGCACGAAAGCTTACATTTCTCACACGAAAGTTACTATTCTATAGGCTAGGCTAGGCCTCTCTATGCCTAGCCTAGATAAGGGCAATCCGAGCTGTCGTCATGACTCTATAGCCTATGTATATAGGCCTAATGCTAGCGTCCCATGGCATATGCTTTAGGTGGGTCTGGGGTAGGCCTAGGCTATTATAATAATAAGCTTTATTTCAACACGGAAACTTGGCTCAACTAGCAGTTGTTTTTCTGCAAGGCCGTGTATAAGGCACAAATTTTACAGTATAGAAAAATAATAACTACAACACTTTGTAAAATTGTTATGCCCTAACTCCTAAGTAAGGGGCTAAGCTGATACTGGGCTACCCTACTAGGCCTAGTAGTAGTAGGCCTGGCCCTAGGCCACACAAAACGGCAATAATTAGGCCTATGGCCTCTACTACTAGCCTAGACCTAGGGGCCTAGGCCTATAACGATTATAATTATAATTATTTACAAGTACCAATTCTTCTCCATTAATTAGAAAATTAGCAGAAAAGTGTTGCTGTTGGTTCTCTGTTTTTGAAAACTCATTCCTTTTTACTATAGCCTAGGCCCTAGGCCTATACTGGCATGGTTATTTAAAAAAGGCTAGGTTAGGCTAGTGTTTTAGAAAATCATGATTCACATTTATATTATTAGGTATAAGTTAATTTTTTTTTATTAATAATGAAATTATATTTTTATAGGCTCCATTATAGGCTCGAGGTCTGTTATTAAATTATCAAAGAATTTGATCTGGTCTTGTCTGGTTAATATACTCTACGCATGGTTGGCTATTATTTTGGCTTATTTTAAATAAATACATTGTATAATTAATATTATTAAACGTAAATTTAAATTACCTCTACCTAAACCTGAATGTAATAAAACAGTTTATTTCATAAAGGAGCATTTGATTGTTGAAAATGCTTCAACACTGCATTTATTTTAACAAAATGCCATACAGAATTTGCAGCCTATTTTTTGCAATATAAAGTTTTGTTTATTTTCTATTGTTTTTTTTTTTTGCAAATTTATTTGTCTAATTTAATTGTTTCATGATTTTTTTTGTATATTGTTATAAAATTGAATTGTGGAAATAAACATTGAACATTGAACATTTATAACAGTATTTTGTAGGGTAGGTATAGCAATATTTAAAAATCTTTTGTTGTTTGTAATCAAATTGTAACTTGTATATTTATCTTTAGGTGATCAAGTAAAAGCAAAGTTCAACCACATGAGAGACAGCTACCGAAAAAATTTAGAAAAGATTCGAAAATCAACACGTAGTGGAGCAACTCCAGTTTTTAATACCTAATTTACAACCCAGAAAGTAAGTACGATTGATTTTTTTTTACTTATCAATTGTTAATAGTGATAATATTTTTACTTAATAAGAAAAGATTAAAAATTAAAGTATAATCCTTGTGTGTTTGATGCAGGAGCTATAGCAACATCCAAGAGTGTTCCCCTGCAACAGAGATATTGTCCAAAATGTGCAATCCAGATGAGGAGGCCAATGCTCAAATTTAACTATATCCAGAATCAAATGATGATGACCTATATGATACCACAGAGGAAGTGATAGAAAACACAGGTAAAAATGAACAATGTAATTAAACTGTTCCCTGGTAGGCCCCCAGCAGAATCAAGTGCTGGTGCGCCCCCCCCCCCCACCGGAAGCTAGAGCCTTTTATTAGATTAGAGGACTAATTCAATTGATTAAAGAGTGAATTTCACCAGTTTATGAAAAATAAAGTAGAGAAACATGAAAAGTAAAAGCTAACCTTCATTTTATTGAAATGTGCTAGAAGGATTCATAACATAGGTATCAAAGTTTACAGCTGAAATTTAGGGGTGGGGCCGAGCTTGCCTTTAAATCCACTGGTTTAATATATTAATTTAGTATTTACTCCAGCCTCTTGGCACCACTGAATGTACAGTATAAAAAATAATACTGTAATTTATCTTTGTTTTTTTTTTCAGAGCATTTGCCAACAAAGAAGTTAAAAATCAGCACTCCTTCATCATCAACAAGAAAAAGAAAATCAGATGGCGATAATATAAATGAACGCAACAATAAACCTTGAACGCAACAAAAAAAGAAAATCAATGGATTCTGGTAGTGACAAACTAAAATCATTCTTCCTTATGACGTATGAAACCGTGAAGGAATTTCCAGCTCCTAAACATGAAAGAAATTGTTGCAAAACACATGTAAACCTTTTTAGCAAACACTTAGCAACTTGCCAGTTTAATTTACAACAGAAGCCTCTTTTGAAATAGGTCACTCTAGAGGGTGCAATATGGTCCATAAATATTGATGCTTTTGCATGAATTGGCACAATATTTTAAAAGTGATAAATTTGACTTTTGTCAGTTTTGGCCTTTCTTATATTTGACACACATGACTGTAATGATTTGAAAAATATAACAATACACTGTAGAAATAATGTAAATCACAATGTTTATAAAATAAGTATGTACCGGCAGTCATTTCAAAATGTGTCTAGAAGTGTCATTTTTAGCAGTTTTAAGTACTGATGGACTTATTCTCCCCAAAACAATGCTTTCTTTGCCATGCCACCTTGCCTGCATCTGAAATAAGGTACTTGGCAAACCTGTTGCGAATTTCAATTGCATCCCGTGATCCATGGAAACCTTTTTTCTCCAAATTGGATAACCCTTCGCAGTGATTTAATATAGCCTTTGGGTTTTCAATATGTATTGCGTTGAGTAGCTCTCTCAACCGTGCTTGTTTTCTTTAGGAAGTTGTGAAGAACACAAGTTGCTTTAATTACGTGATCGATATTTTTTGGTGAAAGGTTAATTATGCGAAAGAAAATTATGAAGCGCGCACAGAGTTGCCCAAAGGCATTTTCTGATATTCTCCTTCCTCTAGAGTGCCTATAATTGCAGATCCTCTTTTGATCTGTCAATTCCTTGCCAGGAAAAGGTCTCATCATTGTTAAGTTTAAGGGGAAAGCCTCATCCCCTAAAATGACATGGGGCATTTCACCCAACTCTGGAGCATTCGATAAACATTTCGGGCCAGGAAATTTAATTTTACCATTATCTCTTGCCTCAGCTAAAGCGCTTCTTGCAAAAATACCGCCATCACTTGCTGACCCATAATTGCCAACATCAATATAGGTAAAACAATAGTTGGCATCTACTAAGGCCAAAAGCACAATTGAAAAATGACCTTTGTAGCAAAAATACTGGGAACCACTATTGTTAGGTGCTTTGATATGAACATGCTTCCCATCTACTGCTCCTAGAGCATTAGGGTAGTTCCAATGCATATGAAATTTTCTTGACAACTGCATCCATTCTTCAGCAGAAGATGGCATTGCCATGTAAATACCACTTAGTCTCTTCCATATAGCTACACAAATTTCCACCGCAATCATCAAGACAGCTGATATGCCAATCCTGTAGTTATAATGAAATGACCCATATGAGTCACCTGTAGCTAGGTACCTAAAACAGAAAGAAAATAAAATTTATGATTTTAATAATACAATCAGTCAAACAGAATCTAGTCCTTTCCTAAATAGTGTGATACTATTTTCACAAAAAAAAAAAACATGTATTAGAAAAAAAGAGTAACAATAAAAAAGAAATGACAGCAGAACTTTTGAGAGTAACAATATATAATTTATTCTCTAGCATTTGTCCACACAGGGACACTTCACCAGGAGACTCTCTTAAAAGTTCTGCTGTCATTTCGTTTAAATGAAATCATGTTAGATTAAAATTGTGTGCATTCTATTATTGTTGGTTTTATATGTTACCTTAAACAGACAGATAAACGTTCTCTTGGAGTTATGGCTCTCCTGAATCTTGTATCTTGTCTGAATATATCAGCTTTGATCAAATCTAAAATAGTTTCAAATTGTTCTTCTGTCATTCTGAAGTAAGAAAAGTATTGGTCTTCTAAGGATTGTAAGTCATTTTTTATCAGAGAAACAAAATGGCCAATATTAGATCTTTTCTGATTTATGGGGTTAACCCAGAACGACCTCTTCTTTCGTTTTTTCCTTTGAAGTATCAGATTTACAATAACTTCATCTTCATCACTGCTACTTGAATCCATTGTTGTTGTTCTGTTGAGAATAATATAAGGTAAACAGAAAATATACATACCGTAACTATTCCTATGTGCACTGACAAGTATTAAAAATTGGTCTATAAAACTACCATGCCACGTAAATAAAATAATACTAATTTAATTAAAAGGACTATAAATTTACTATATCTAGTGTGCTTTATGATACCGCACCATAGTCAATTATTATGTATTGCATCAGGTATTCATATTACTTTTCTGAAGGAACCAAGAACTATAGACTATAAAATGTAGGTTACTAAGGCAGAGGTCAACGATCTCGCCATTGGTTGGCCTAGCCTAGGGCCTACTTACCGTGCACCTAAATCATAGGCCTAATATAAGATGTCTAATAAATTTTACTTATATAGAATATGTGTAAATAATACTAAACACTAAAGGAACTTACGAATGGTAGTATTTTCAAAACATAAACAATACATACAACTCGCGACGCAAGTTCATACATTGCGTAACGTCAGCGTGATCCGCGTCAACTAACCAAGTAAATTTTATATGATCAATTGGTATGTTCTTAAATTAATACTGTACAAAGTAAATGTAAAGTTAAAATATAATTCCTACTTTTTTCTCATATTTATTGTAAAATATACAATATACAGAAAGTATACATTAGTAATTCACTCAGTCACACAAAGCTTTTAATGTAGCTAGTTCATTGACATAATTTAGTGAAAGGAATATTAACTATTATTATTATTATTTTTAAACGATAATTATAGTGTTAAAAACTGATTTAAATACAATTAATGCTACCTAACACTCAGTCCTCTCCTGTTGCAGATTCGGCAAGATGGGACAGACTTTCAGGTAGGACTTTATAACATCATTGTAATGATAATAACCAGTACCATCGCTAGAATGGTATAGCGCCCCCATTGTTAAAAAGGGGGGCCTTTTGGGAGGTAAAAAAAAGAAAGAAAAAGAAAAAAATGATAGCCCACAACGCCTCAAATGTTATTTTCGGGCGTCTAGAACACAAAAATTTCGCGGGGGAATGCCCCCAGACCCCCTAGGTCATTGTTGTCTCGATCGGCCCAAATTTCGGTCCCCCCTTTCGGCCCCCCTTTTGGACATCTCTGGATCCGCCCCTGGTATTGATCATTTAGCGATGAGCTTTCTGTGTCAAATGGTATCATACTTAAGGGCAATTGCTACCTGATCCCTGAATCTTTGAGACAGGATATCCTCGACAAGCTACATGAAGCGCATCTTGGTACTACCAAAATGCAACTGCGAGCACGTACAGCAGTATTTTGGCCAAACATTAACAATGCCATACGAGCCAAAGCCGAGAGCTGTGACATTTGTCAACAATATGCACGACGTAAACAAAAAGAGCCAATAATCCAGCATGAAATACCTACCAGACCGTGGCAAAAGTTAGGAGTAGACTTGCTTGCCCTTGATGGTTCCAATTACCTCATTCTTTGCGATTATTACTCAAAGTTTCCAATCGTCAAAAATCTACGCAGCGGTACTACAGCTAAAACAGTCATCAACGTGTTAAGAGAAGTTTTTGCAGAACACGGTACCCCAGATGAAATTGTTAGCGATAATGGTCCGCAATTTGACTCCGACGAGTTTGAGCAATTTGCAGAAAGTTGGTGCATTACTCTCGTCAACACATCACCACGATATAGTCAATCAAATGGATTCATCGAACACCAAGTACAGACAGTAAAGAATACGCTAAAGAAAGCTACTGAATCTAAGGAAGACCCACAACGCGCTCTATTGATACTCAGTTCAACGCCTATCGACAGTAGACTCCCATCTCCTGCGGAAATCTTGAACCAAAGAGTCTACAAGTCGACCATGCCAATGCGAATCTCTGGCGGTCGTAGCGAAGTCGATAGCGCACTCGCTGATCGTCAAGCAACACAAAAACGCTATTATGATAAACACGCGAAACAGTCGCAAGCCCCAAAAGAGGGGGAAAGCGTTAGAATAATTAAGAATGAAGGGAACCTGCGACAGTGTTAAAGAAACGTAATGAGCCAAGATTGTACGATGTTGAATTGTCTGATGGATCTATCCTACGTAGAAGTAGTCGCCATATTAGGAAACCCGCGAGATTTGCAAACACAAATGATTCTTAAACATTATTGCATATTTGACTATGCTTGACTTTTGAACTGATAATCTAGACAAGTGAAAGTTTCTGTTATTTCTTGCCATTTTATTGCTATTAATCTTTTTAAAACACCCCATACTTTTAAAGTCAGAAGTCATTCAATGTTTATGTTTTGTTCCATATGCTCATGCCTAAATATATTCATAATTGAGTTATACCAGTTTGTTTCTAACCAAACCTGTATTGCAATAGTGACTGGGAATTTATCTTTCAGTAAAGGGGATGTAATGATAATAACCAGTACCATCGCTAGAATGGTATAGCGTCCCCATTGTTAATAAATCATTTAGTTTATGATAACCAGACGTTGTACGGCATGGCATGGTTAGTCAGTCATCATGAGTTTAGTTATTAAAGTACGTAGTTAAGCAGTTTACCCAGTTGTACTGTACTTCATTATCGTCATTATTCCCACCGAATATCGTTACAATCATTACTATAAATATGACCATGTTTTCCTACTGTATGTTCATTCATGTATGACACAAGAAAACACTCTATGATTTTACATTTATGAAAACTCTTCTGTAGGTTGTTTCAACAAGTTTGCAGAAAACCATATCTGATATGTTGGTAAGCAATAATAATTTTAAATTTCAAATATATTTTAATAAATTTTAGTAGTTTTAGTTTTTTTTACAAAAAAAGACATTAATCTATGTATTTGAAACTTAAATTACAGTACTGCACATAATAATGAAATAATACTTGCTTTTTTATTTCCTAGGCTTTGAATGAATACTTTTTTTTTTTGCTAGGCTCTGAATGACAAAGTTCCCCCACCACCACCCAAACCCCAAACTGTAAGTATTCCATGGAATATGAACTACTGTTGTCATTCCACTTGTCTAATTTTTTTGTCAGTACATTTAGTTTTTAACTACTTTTATATATCACATATACATTCTCTTACTTTTATATTTTTAACTATAATAGATTAACCAAAATGAAGCAAACAAGAATAGGACAACTGTACTTCAAAATCACGGTTATCCCATTATGTACTTATATTTTCAATATTTACAGCCAAAACCTTCAAAATATGGCCCGAAATCAAAATTTGAAGAAAATGAGAAGGTCATGAACTCCATTTGGGCCCTGTTTGGGGCCCAAATAATGGAAGGTCACGTGCCGAAAAAAGAAGTGAGTTTCTATCATTAAACTATATTAATGTTTTCTTCTTATACTATATCTTAGTGTAATGTTAAATCTGTATGTCCACATACACGGAACTTGCAACAATGGCGCAAGCATGCTGTTTGTAACTAACAGCGTACCTTCATTTTATGAATATTGAAGAAATTCTATTCATAGCTTTATAGGCAGAATTTATGCTAGCTGTAATGTGTTGTTTTTCAATTGTTCTTTACATCAACTTACTCCCTCTTTTTGATTATTGATGTTGTGCATGGTCAAATTATAATATTACAAATTCTAATTGTCTAGAAGTTCTTATGTTAGGTCAGATTTTGCTTTCAGTAGATATTAAGACTTCCGTTGATTTTATCTTAAGTTCTCTTGACTGGAAAAGACTCAATGTAAAGATGGAACGAACAGTTACTTTTAATGACGTTTAAATGTTTAAAAGGAAGTGCACGTCCATATTTATCATCAAAATATATATACAGCAACAGTCTCTATTCGAAATGCACTTGTAGCCAAACTCATAATAATTTGATGGTACCGTCTTGGAATATTAAGTTGCTTCAATTGTCTTCAGGAGATTAGACATCAAATCTCCAGGAGACGATTGAAGCAACTTTCAACAATAGTTTTTTTTTCAGAACTACCCACGTGGTGTACCGCAAACATTTATTATTGTTACTTTGACGTATAAACCTTCAAACAAATACTATTAATTTGTAACATTTACATTGTATCTTTTCTTTAAGATGTTATTTAATTTTTCTTTCTTTTTTTTTTTGTAACTGTACCACTTCGAAAAAGTGTACTGAAAGTGCCTGCAGGATAAAAAAGAATATATAAATAAATGCTATTCATCAAAGATGGTTCCGACTAATTTATTTATTTTAAGAAATTAAGGTAGATCTGTAGCTTTTGGTTATAAGGGCGCAATGATCTAATTTATTTATACCCACAGTAAAATTTATTTTGTTTGTACAATATTTATGTTCTATGAATACAATTATCTGAAATAATAGAATACATGAATGAATTACAACTTTAATTGTAAAAATATTCCTGTTGCCAATTAACCCTTGCTTTATATAAATGATGTGAACACTAAACAAATACTTTCACTACAAAATTTGTCATTATTTTTTTGTAGGCTCACCAAGTATATGCTGCAAATGCAGAGCTGCATGCATTTAAGTTCCAGCAGCTATATGATAAAATGCGGCGAATGTACCCTAAGGTAAGCTTTCCATTTTCAAATATATCATTCATCAGCAAGACAAAAGAAATTATCAAGGCAAAATTTTGAATTACTGTATATGCTTCTGGGAGAGAAAAAAAATTGATCCCAAATATTTTTATCACATAATAGATAGACTCACAAGAAAAATGTTTGAAGACCTTGAATTTATTTTTCAGTCCAAACAACATTTAAAATACTGTAGGAAAATATAAATTAAATAATTATTAATAAAAATAGGCCTAATAAATA